TATACCATAAATAAAATATATCTTTCTTTAACTATATACTTTCCACGAACTGCCCTTAGTGAAGTAACATTCCACTTTCACACCGCTATAATCTCGTAACGGAGCTCTATAGCTGTGTGCTTTGTTACTTGTGCTGTATTAAGAAGGCTACAGTCCGCTTGTAACAGCAGTTACAAACTTTTGTAAGTGATTCTGCCACAGTAGAGAAGACCTCCTTACAAGAAACACTTGTTTCTTAGATTGCAAGAAAGTTACATACCATTTTTGCAAGTGTTAGAAACTTGTATTCATTTTTAGCCTACTATAGTAAAGAATTATTTTTATTAGTCATTAGTATAGACAATTATTGCTTTAGTTTTTCTACCAAAGGTTGCTCAATTGTTTGATGTTGTGTTAATAATGATTCAAAAAATTTTCTTTTATTTTTAGATAGTAGTTTAGAGGTAGAGGTGAAAGTGAATATAGTTATTGTTGCTGGAACTTGTAAGTTATATTGAATCATTATGTTTTATAGACTAGCAAGAATAGCATCTTTATCATTAGTGAAAAAGGTTATAAGCTTGGATGAGGGATCAAGAATTGTGGCAATTATAGTTGATTCTTTAAGTATAGATCAGTATTTATTTAGCTTAAATTTAATAGAATCTGCCACCATATACTGCTCTGTTAAGTGTGATTCGTTATCTAAAAATTTATCAAGGTAAAGAAGAAGTCCTAAAAAGTTAAACAGATATCAGAAATAGTTAGATATGAGCTTGGTAATAGTAATTATGTTGCGATAAGTATAGGTTCTAAAAATTCAATCATATTATCTATGACTTTCTATTTCTTATCATTAAGATAATTGTTTTCTAATTGTTTTTATATGTAGTTACAAATAAACTTAACTTATCATACATTTTGTTGAATCTATAAAGCATGTTATAAGTACTATTCTAGCAAGTGCTTATATTAGCAATTGGTTTAACATAATGTTTTTTATTTATTTCACAAAATTGATAAAGTCATAAAACAGTTGAGTGTCTAATTTTATTTGTAAAATGTTACACTTTACTAATAACTAAAGTTTTAAGCTGCATTCTATAGTTTATAGCTAAATTAAGGACATGGGCTGAGTAGCAATAGTGGTAAAACTTTTGTAAATCCTATTTTTGCTCAATTAAGTTTCTACATAGTACTATCACAAAGTAGTTATTGGTAGTGAGTGCGGTTACCTTATTAGTATTACAAATTGACAACTAATTAACTAAACTTAAATACCAACTAATTAGTCAATTAATTAATTAATCAATTAATCAATTAGTTGCAAGAATCAATTGAAAATTTATTTATTTATTTAACAAATTAGTTGCAACCAACTGAAAAAATAATTAACCAACTAATCAATTAACATACCTTATTACTAATATTTATAGAATTACAAAGATTATAAAGCTTTTCTTTTATAGATATTATAGTGTGTTTATATTAGAAATAAATAAGGTCTAATAATAGTTAATAAAATGAATAATAACACCAAAATAGGCCTAGTTTGAGATCAATGTTCATATATCTGCAGTAAGCACAACTTTAGTGATAAGACTTCTGAGTTCTTTAGCAACAAGCTTATACTAAGTTTTAAACTGATACAATATCTCTTTCTTAATATACTAACATAATGGGTGTTTATATTTTGAATCAAATATGTTTACTATTTGTTAGAACCAGTAATTTTAATGATCATGAATAGAAGCTGACAACAAACTACAAAATTTAAAACAGCATCAAAACACTCTTTTCTGCATTAAACATCTTCTTTACTATAGGGTTTTTAGATTATACAGCTTTTATTCAGTATAAGTTCTATATTATGTTTATTACTAAGATAGTTACTTAAAATTCCAGTAGTCATTGTAGAGCTAAATTTTTAATCACATTTTTACATATCTTTGCAACAACCTTATCACCTTCCTTTTGCTTGCTTATAAAATTTCATATGGGCAATGTTTTATTTTTATTACAGTTTATACTCAACTGTCTATCTAGTAAGGCTTCTTGTAATAGTAATACAGTAGTAGTAGCATTTTTTTATTTACTATACTATCAGATGAATTAACATCTTCTCTAAACATAATACATCATTAAAGTCAAATTCTTCTTCAGAGGTGGTATAATAATCAGATATATTAAAACTAAATCAAGTTATATTATAAATTTACTGCTTTAATTTTTTGAATTTGTTTTTTTCATTTCATAACTAAATCATTCCTTTTATAACTTTTGATAGATTAGGATGATATATTATTCTGTATTATAAAGAAACAATGACAAGGTTTAATTAATTTATATGATAATGTATTTGCAAGTAGTACTTCACGTCTTCAATTAGAAAAAATTTTATCCATTTGCTTTGTTAATCAATAATTATACAATATTAGGTAAACAGATAATATATCTAAAGGTAATATTATTGATTTTATTTTATTATTGTTAATTGATTAATTCACTAAATTAATTTATTATTATTTATCATTAAGCAATAGCTAAATTTAAATACTGTTTATTCTGCAAAGCAAAAAATAAAGATGTTATTCTTCTGTTTTACTAATTGTCATTTGAAGGCTATTTCTATACTAAGCTCAAATTAAATTATTTTCAAAATATGGTGAAGACCCAGAATCTACAATTAGTAAAACTAGGAATAATAAATATTAATTTATGAGTAGAGATTTTTTGTTAGCTTAATTTGCTTGCATATAAAGACTAACTAATAAATAGAAAGAAATAGCCAGAGCAGTTCTGAAGTGCTGATTATCTGATCATATATATGGTGTCAATTCAATATGAAAAATTAATTTAGATACTCTAATAGTTCATTTTAATAATTGTGTAAAATTATATTAATGTTAGTTATATCAAACTAGCACTTCTGAAATTTGTTTTGGCTAGCTTGAATGGTGCTAACAACAATATAATTAACCAATTATTCAATTATGATTAAGTATAATATAATACAATCAAGAAAAATTTGACAGTTTTAAAATTGTTCAATTCAAAATTTATATGACAAATTGACTTTTATGTTCTAACAGAAATTTACCTTATAGTAGCGATTTTTTTATAATAAAGCTTGTTACAAATTTAATAAACAATAAGAAATGCATTGATTATCACATATACAAAAAAACTCCTACATGCTAGGTCTTTAGAGCCGAATGAGCCAGTAATATTTCTAATCAATTCATGAGCTTTGAGTCTATTGAGTAATAATGAATTAATAAATTTAACTGCTACTTGCATTAATTAACACATCATATATATTAATGACATATTGTTCTAATAGTCTTTTATTTAGTGCAGAACCTGATAAAATTTCTTAGTTTGTATAATACTATGCAAATCAACTCCTAGTATGCTAAATCATTCAAGATTATAAATATTAAGTCTTTTTATCTTGAACAATTGTAGTTAAAAAACTATTCTAACTCTATAAAGCAAATTAAGTAATATTTTTAATATTAATGAGAAAAGATAACCAAATTGTTTGCAGACATTAGTAATATAAACTAGACTTGAATGAAACAATTTGCAAAATTTGAGTTCAGAAGTTGATACTTCAAACTAAAATGTCTAGAGCATTGTTGCAGCAGAATCTGTACAAAATTCAGCAAACAGGATAAGTTATTGATGAATATAATCTATTGTGATAAATTAGTTTTGTGATTTGTTTTTGTTTTTTAGATATTATTTATATGTTACTACAGAATTTGCAAATTTAATGGTAATTGTAGCAATACTCTGTGTACATTTTTTTTATATATCTCAAATCTTAAAGACTACGAAACAAATATAATGCAGAAAAAAACAAGCATAGCATAGGATGAAACATACATAGTATAGATGAAACAAACATAAGCAGAATGAACAAAAATGGTGCAAGTGATTATGCAAATAAATTATTTTTACAATTGTAAAAATAATTTCTTATATCACTAGTCAAGACTACAAAGTATATCGATATAGTATCTTTGTCTTGAAAATTATCTTTCAACATTTCTGATCAGATTAATTCAGACAAAAATAAATACAAGTATCAGTTCATGTTCATATGTTAATTATCTTTTAACTTTATTGATTCAATAGCTATTTGATAAACTATTAAATCAATAAAGTTAAAAGATGATTAATATATGAATATGAACTGATATTCAAGTTTATTTTTGTCTGAATTAACCTAATTGGAAATATCAGAAAGTGATTTTTAAGGCAAAGTCTCTATATCTATTCTTCGAACTATGTGATATAAAATTTAAAATCAAACTATAAATTAAAAAAAAAACAAATTTAAATATTTTTTAATTATTTGTAAAAAATAAATATTAAAGTTATTTTATCAAAGAAACAATTTATTATGTACAAGAATGTATAATTGATATGTTTTACAGTATAAAAATAAATATTTTTTTAAAAAAATTTTTTTTTAAATAATCAAAAATGCATTAAATTTGTAATATTTCATATTTACTAATTTTATTAATTGAAATTAATACTGTATTTGCGCATATAGCAGGCTGGGCTTTAATTCAAATATTGAATATTTAAACAATTTAGCTATTTGGCTCAAAATATCACCTAAGTGTGTTTTGAAATAATGCGCATCTACTTTTTATATAGCTTAATGCTTTAAAATTTAATAAAGCTTCAAACTGCAAATATTAAATTTAATTCTCAACTATAATAAAAGTAAAAAATATTTTTATTTAATATATCATATTTTATTACTATTATGATTATTTATTATTCAGATATTATAACTGGGTAAATTATATATTTAAGTGATTTATATTGTTTGAAGTTAATTCTTTATATCTACTTATTAAGTGATAAGTTGCTTTACAATTTGTTAATTTAAATGCTTTATTTTATTTAATTTTAATGATTACTTAAATTGTTAAGCGATTTTTATGTTTATCTATCATGTGATATATTATTTATTTTTACAACTTTTAAATATTATTTAGATTAGTTCAATAATTTATTTAAATATAGATAAAGTCTTTTTAAATTATAGTTTAATGACAATAAAAAAAATTAATTTGTATTAAAATTACTACTTAGTGTTTTAACCCAAGTGGGTTTCACCTAGATCATCTACAAGTAAGTAGATCATCTAGATTGAGTTGTGATAATCTGGATCTCTAAATAGATCCTAATATTTACAATATATACTTAAGATAATTTAAATGTATAATTTAACAAATAATGATATATATAGTATTTGGTTAAGTAGAAATTATAACAAAGGTTACTAAAAGTTATAATACATGAATAGCCCAAAGGGCTATCTATATACTATGACTGTCAGTATAACCTCTACTATAATTTCTCTCAGAAAATGAATGAATAATCTCTAGAAGCATATCACTAGATGTTAATTTAACTGCTATACTATTATTTTTATGTATAATTCTATATTTATATTATTATTATTTTTTTTTTTAATCTTTGGCAACCTTGCTAGTGATCCTTTATTAAGATTATTATATAAATAGATTACATAATGTTGAGCTTAATATCTAGACCCGACATCCTCCAGCTACCTCGTGGGTGCCTAGAAGCAGTCTGCCGTACTGATTTAAAATTTGTTTTATAATCAGAAGGCTAATACCAAGTTAGCCGCACAAACCATACCAAAAGGTTTTGCAACTATTTTGTATTAATTTTCTAAAACTATTAAAACATCTATTTTCTATTCTTTTTATACTCTCCTCTTTTTCTTTTTTTAACTTAACATTCCTTTCTAGTTCCTCCACATTAGTTCTACTCTTTAAACCCCTTTTCTGTCTCTTTGTTTCAACTATACTTGAACCTGACTTCTTTTTTTCTTTCGTTAATCTGCTATTATGTTTTTCTTTAGTTGAGATATCTTTACTAATTTCCCATTTTCATATCATCTCACATCTTCTTGTCTATATATTTTCATAAAAGCTGTTCTAAACTGTATTTATAGCAAGTTCGATGTAGGTTTTAGCATCTTTCCTCGATTGTAGAGTTTCTTATATTTTTTCACCTTGTCTTTCTGGATCAGACCTTTGATTGCTTTTGTTCTTGTTTCAAAAAATTCTTTCTTTGACTCTCCTCAGAGAGTTTCTTCAAGTAGATCTTTATTCGTTCTCATTTGGGTTTTCTCTGAGAGAGCTGCTCATGCTATGTTTGCTGCTAATTTTTTTGCAATTTTCTAGCTGTTCTCATGTTCTCTGCAGCTTGCTAGGTAGTCTTGATTTTCTTTAACTTTTTCATTATATACTATGCAATTAGAATTTTGATATAGGTCTGGATGCCTTTGTACTAATATCTGAAGTACTGGTAATTTTTAATTAGCACATTTAATTAGAGCTCCAAGGCGTTTGTTTTTCTTTAATATTGTGCATCTAACTCTGCTATTTCTTTTGATTTGTTTTCAAAAATAGGTCCACTTATTTGTTCTGAGATTCTCTTCCGGTTCTATTTTCTGTATTGTTTTTGATTCTTTCTAGTTCGCAGCTATCTTGAGATCTAGAAGTATTTTAACTACTTGTCTTACTGGATGCTTAATAAGTGTTCTATCCCAATGTAGTAAAACATTTGACCTTAACAGGAGGTTAAAGATAATTCTATCATAGCACCTTGTTTTGCTAAACTATCTGCTTTGTTATTCTATCTAATATTGCTATGACTTTTAAATTTGACTAAATCTAATTGAATTTTTTTCACTTTAACTAACTCTATAATATTACATACTAACTCATAATTCTTCTGTCTTAGCTATTGTTTGCTTAAAAGAATACTCTTTTCTTTTTTTATATTTGCGATTGCTACTGCACTATCTGTATATATTTTGACCTTCGTTTTGCTAGGTATTATGAGAATTGCTAACCAGATTTCCATTAATTCTGGTTTGGTTGATGGGGCCAATTCTCTGTCTTAGCGAAGCCTTCTTTAGTTATTGTTTGTTTGGTATAATCTACTTAACAATTTCTATACCCATATGATCTGGGCCTTCTGTATTATTTCTTGTTTGTTATAATAATCTATTAGTATAAAAAGTTAGATCTCTATATAGTAATGACTGATTGTTTTGATTCCACTTAATTAAATCCTCTTTGAGTTTTGAGCGACATATCTTGTTTTCAAATCATCTCTGTGTCTAAATCATAACTAATAATTTTTATACATCGAGATTCCCTTTTAGTTAATCTTGCTTTTTTACTTCTATATTGTACTTCAATTGAGTTTAAAGGAATCTCCAATCTCCACTTATTTTCTCTTCTTTTAATAAAGGCAGATAAAGATCCTTGTATTTCATTTTTATAATATCACTTCTCGCAGGTTTCAATTGCTTCTTGATGGTTTGATTCGCACCCTATGCATTTTCTAGTATAAGG